CTCCCAAAATGTTCTACTTCCTGGCCAATGTGGCAAAGAATAAATGTCTTGTAAGGATAGAAGGAGAAGCCATTCTGAGCAGAAATGGTTTAGGATTTGAACAGCGGAGCATTTGCGTGGCAGCGCCACTGTTTCGTACATGTGAAACTAACATCTTTGTATAAAACCGGATGTGCGGAGGATAAAGAAGGGGTCATATCGGAGTGGTCGCTGAGAGGAGGGGCGTAAAGAGGCGGTCAATTTTTCGCCACAACCTTAGCTCTGCTCAGGACTCTTGGGATTGCCCTGCGGTGAATAGGGCATCGTGTTCAATTCGAAGAATAATTGATTATGACAGCTCGGCTGTGCTTGCGACTCATGTATTCCTCTACATTTCTGATTAGGATCGGCCCACTTTGGAGTCCACTATCATAGGGCATGTTGTAAAATGGGTACTTTGTTCTGGTGGAAGAACTACTCCCTGTAGACGCATACTTGCCACCTAACAAAAGTGTAGGAAATTGGTAATAGTTATGGAAAAATTGAAACACACTGATACTGGTTGCGAGTTTGCTGTTGTGCCTGTTTCAAGAAGTAAAGAAGTAAGTATAGAATCATATGAAGAGGGCCGAGCCATTAGTCGAAAAAGTGGTGCGGGAAAAAAAGCAACTACTTTCTCCTGATTTCCTGTACAAAAGGTAAACTAGTCGTAGCTTGAGTGGGGTCTAATTATTGTGCCTTATCTTTTGCTGTAATTATTAATTCATTTGGGGTATTATGAGGAGGAGCTATAAATTTCACTGTAAGTCCGCCTTGATCACTGAAATTTCAACGTAAAGCCAGATGAGCCACATTGAAAAGAGAAAGTCATTTATACGAACTGAGTTTTATCTTACTTTTAGATGTTCTCGACGCAGCGCTGATTCAAAAACTGATAACCTTTTTGTGAAGGTAGCCTATTTGCCATGGACCGATTCATTACACCTAGCGCTGCTATTAACATAAATTACAGGACCAAATCCTATATCGTTTGCTCGGGCTTAGAGGTGTGGTTTATGTTTCGAAGGCTGCCCATTGGAGCGAGGGTAAAAGTAGTCAGTGATGAAACGAAACCATGAGAACCGCTCAAAACCCTAGGAATGCGACCTTTCACTTGACCTTTGATTTCTTTTTGATGCGGATCTCATCGGTGCTGCCCTATTCAACGCCACCGGCTCGAGACGTGTGGCGAGTGCTTGGGGCGTGCCGGGTCGTAGCGTTGCGGGGACGGTCATGCTAGATCGCTATGGACATATCCTCCACTATAAATTGTGTGTCTTCCAGCTAGAGAGACGCCTGTCTTTTCACTGGGTAAACTTCCCCTCTCAACCTTCAAGCTTATTGTGGAATCCTTCTTCGAACCAACAACCTCAGATCAAACTGGTGGGTCACGCGGTCAATTGTGTATGCCAAACTAACTGGAAATGAAAGTTGAATCAAAGCAAACCGCCAATGAAGCCATTAACAAGTATGCCCTCCATTCCCCTTTACGACGATGAGGGGCGTGTCTGGACGAGTTGGCTTAACTTGCTTGCTCCATGTCCACTGTTGCGCTCACATTCAAATTAGCCGGTACGTCGTAATCTACCCTACATATCAGATATCTACATACCCTACATGTGCCCAAGGTATCAGTATCGCTCAAAGCTCACACTCTTCGCTATCGGATCAATTTGTAAGGCTTAGCGCCATTATTGCTTCGAGCCGCGACAACGACACATCTGTGATACTTATGGTCGACTCTGTTCAGCCCTAGAACGTTAGATTCTTGTAAAGGTGCACACGAATTTCAGTAAGAACGGAGGTCAGCAATGCATTTCGATGGGTGTGACCAATTGTATTCGTGACGTTCTCCATATTCTTGGTATTCGAGGGTTGCAAAACTGATATTAACTCTAGGTTTATCTGTCTCTACCCATCCATTCTACTACTTAAACATTACGTGAAACGTTATGTAGTGTAGCAGCAACGTATTTTCTTTGCTGGAAAGCTAACTTTCTGAATCTACAA